ACTGAGCTTTTTAAAGTCTAGGGATGAAAGCCAAGATCTGTAAATGGAAGAAAGCAGAATGGCAACGTTTGAGTAAGAAGTCAGAAAGTTTACCTGAGATGGATACAGTAAAATGTTATTAAAGTCCAAGTCAGTTCCAACTATTTATAATTTAAACAACAAAATTATACAGAAATTCATAAAGCAGGTGAAACATACTATCCAGAACAGAAATATGTTGTGACAGACAAACTTTCCACAATGACTCTGCCTCACAGCTTACATTAGAGAAAGCCAATGTCTGTACACTTGGTGGCCAGGTTTGTTTGTTTTAGTTTGGTTTTTTTTTAGTTCTAACCAGTCATCTGTGGATCTGACCACTATAACCATCAACTGTCTGAAAAAAGTGCAGGCACAGTTCCCTGCTCTCTCAGTTATTAGAAACCAAGCATAAAAGTTGTTCTGTACTACAAGGCCATTCCTTCATTCTCCAACTCTGCTTTAGGAAGACAAATTTCAGTTATTCCCTCAACACCTGTAAGGTGACATGGCCAAACTTATCACAGCCAACTCTGCCTCAACAAATACAGCACCACCCTCCTGTTGCCACTCGGCCTCAAGCTTAGAGGGACATTTCTGGGGCAGTCTTCAAACCTGCAACCATTCTTCCAAAGCTAGAAGGTTATTCTCAGGTGGCAGAATCTCAACCTTTCTCAGGGAATCTGCTCCCATCCTCATTTGGGTCCTATACCAGAGGAATGTTCTGCTGAGCCAAAGAGGCTGATCTCTCCTCCTCCTTTTACCATTTTGCCCACAGAAATTGCCCTCACTTCACCCCTGCTGTTGGTTAAAGGAGCCCAGTCCCTTGATCATAAGCAAGCTCAGTCCTGAATATTCATTCTTGTCCTAGAAAGCCCCAGACACAGATTGAAGCCTGTCCCAAGGTGCCTCAGATTGAGGTAAGACTGGCCCAGACACTGCAGGTAGCAGCAGCTGCACCTCCACTAACTGCTCAGTCAACCCATTAGCACACACAGACTTTTGGCTCGGCCACCTACTCCCTTCCTCAAGCAGCTGAATACTGTACCACTGGGGAGGAATAAGCTCTTTGGAATTTGAAGAAAGCTTTCCCAAGGGGTAGATTTAGTTTTCAAGCCAGCAGCTGCACATCTCTGCTCATTATTGAAGGGACTGAGGAACATATCTTACACACACCTCACCAAGCTTCTCACAGAAAGGCTACTTACTAGTTGAAGTGTCTTCAGAGCCTGGCTCAAAGAAGGTTACTTTTCTTCCATCCCCTGTTTTCTTCACTGGTGTCTTAAAAATAAAAGGAAAAAAGCCAAACCAACAACATCCCTTTATATCCTTTTCCCCCTAAAGTCTTAAAATGTTCAAGATGTAGGTGATCTGACTAGTCAAAATTTTACTGAAAAACTCATTATTCAAAAGCCACAATTACAGCTACCAAGCTATAGCTACACAAACATAGCTACCAAGAGACAAGTTCAGTGATTAATTGAATGACTTGAACTATTTACAGACCAGTCAAGTGGCATTAAGAACTGAGATATTATAATGAAGCCAGGTACACTAATGATAGTTATTGGTATTGCTGAGGACAACATCCTGGCCACAAAGGAGCTGTATTTAGAAAGCAGCCACCTCAAGACATCTGCTTCCTGGCTAAGGCAGAAAGCATTGATTTACTACAGTTACTGCCTTGCAAGCTGCTATTGTTTCAACTCCACTTTTGCTGCAGTACTGAACAGCAGCTGATTCTTAAAGACTCTTACCTTCTCTTCTGTCTTTAATGCTGGCTTTGGAGGTTGAGGTTGGGGGACTTTGAAACCTAAAATTTCCAACATATTCTCAGCTGCATTGCGTTTAGCAACTTTTTTATTTGTGCCCATTCCTTCAGCTGTGTGTGCACCAACTTTGACCTGGACAAAAGAGAAAGAAAAGGCAAATAAATTTTTAAAAAATAGCATAAGGATTTCCTTATTAGTGATCTGTGTCTCAAGCATGCACTAGTCACAAAATAGTACAAGTGATCATTATTCGAAGCAAGTTGCCATTTATTATCCATGATTACTGGCCTTCAAGCACAAAAAAACCCAAACAGAAGTCAAACAACTATAGTTAATCTCACCTTGGAAACAGCCTAAATGCTCAAAACTGGTATCACAGCAGATACAAATTTTCCAAGCTGAAGTTATAGGTTTGGCAGATTTACTAATGTAATGGAAAGAAAGCAAATAACTCTTCTGCCTTGGCTGGGACAGGAGAGGTCTGGAGAATGCACTTCACTAGGGCTAGTAGATACTGAGCATTAAAAATACTACCATGCTATTGGGATTTACAATACAGATGGCAGAATCTAAAGCAACAAACAACAACTTGGGAAGGAAGAAATGAAGGATACCCAAGTTCATATTGATAAATCCTACATTAGAAAACATAAGAAGCTTTGTATCTCATAAGAGAATATTAATATTCCTGTTAATTAAAACAATAGGCAGTTACAACAAAGACTTCTCATTCCCTATGCAACTGAAAAAAAAATTATTCAAATCGCTTTTCTTGAACCTTTATGTTCCTTGAATGTAGCCCACTAGGTATTATCTTAATAAATGTCATGAACATTTGGCCGTAATCCTGTTAATTTTGTATATCATCATGGCAACCTAATTACTATAAGCCACAAAAAAAAAGACACTACAGCCATGGAACTAGACCTGTCAAATTAAATACAAACCTGCATAACAAACTCCCTGCGTCGTGGGAGACCACGTTCTGTGATGAGCATGTACTCTGGTTCCTTCTCTTTCTTGGCCTGCTGTATTTGGGCAAGTCTGCTAATGGGATTCATTCCTTGGCCATATTCTGGACTTGTTTGCAGCTATGAAGAAAATGTTTAGGAAATTAGCCAAGATTTTTGAGTATTTGGTTTAATAGACAAAATGCAGCATGCCACTGAATTAATCTCTAGAATTTAAAATCACTGAAATAGAAGTTGCTTAATGAAACACTGTGACAGCCAAAGAGAAACACTTGATTTATTTGGCTCTGCTGTCACAGTTGACCACATATAACCTACCACTGGTAATAGTTTTACAGGTTCTAATCCTGCTATATTAGGAGGGACAGGCTCGCAGGAGAATTTACACAAGCAAAATCATGCAAAACTCAAAGCTGTGAAGTCTAAGGCTTGAAAGTCAGAGCTTGATTTTTATGTGCCACTCATTCTTTTTTAAGGTTTCTCTTTCATCCATTAATTTACTGATAACTATTGTAAAAGTGGCATCAGAACCCCATTTAGAGTGGAAGCAAAATATAATCTCATTTGCAGTACCAGACTGCTGATAAATGTTGAGCAGTTGAAGGTTTGTAATTAACTCAGAAACACCTCTCATCTGCTGAATATTTATTATGTGCTGAGTATTATCAGATTTCCAGTCTGATTGACTCTTACCTTCACTATTGATTTTGTTTTCTTTTTGATTCGTGGCTTCATTTTCTCAACTGTAGGAAGGGGTGGCAATTTTTTCAGTTCTTCTAGGACTGCTATTGCAGCATTTTTCTTTGAGATCTTCTTGCTTTTTCCTTCACCTTCACCCATGAATTCTCCAACTGACACCTTGGTTACAAAGCTCTTCATATGGGGAGGACCACTTTCCTTGGTCACCTGTTTCAGAGGGAAAAACTGAGTGAAAGCGTGATAAACACTTATTAAAAATGGTAGGGCACATTGTTTATAGCAAACTTCTCTCAAGAACTATGGATTAAGAGATTTTAGATTCTCATACAATCCAGAAAGTAGATATAAATCATACTCTAACAACATAAGCCCACCCAAATAAACATACATAAACATACATCAGAAGCAGCAAGCAGTAAACAGTATTGACATGTAAGTCATTAACCCATCTGATTTAATTTACTAGTTTACTCCTTCACTATTAAAATATGACTGTTCTATTTCATCAATGTGAACTTCCACACTGTTAAGATCACCTCATTATATGCATCATGTTACAGTAATAGAACATTAAAGAGAAAGTAATTCTTCAGGATCCAGCATTTTAGCTCTGAAATCAAAGATTCTGGAGACATCTAAGAGATAGCTACTGACTACAAAGTCAGTCTTTTAACTCCATTCATCACACATCATGGAATCATACAATTCCAGACTGGTTTGGGTGGGAAGGAACATTAAAGGTCATCTAGTTCCAACCCCCCCCTGCATGAGCAGGAACACCTCCCACTAGACCAGGTTGCTCAAAGCCCCATCCAACCTGCCCTTGAACACTTAATACTATTCAAACACTTGAATACCCTTGAACGCTTAATCATACTTCAAAATATCCATAAAATCAAATAGTAAGAATGAATTAAGAACATCCACCCAGAACTGGTTCTGCGTCAGAGTATTTTTATCAGGGATGCTCAGGCTAATCTGCAATAGTTGAAAGCTTCATGTAAAATTTCACAGAATGGTTTTAGAAGCAATTCAGTTACACGCAATTCCATTTTCCTACTATAATAATTCAGAGAGTTGACTTAAATGTTACTCTGCCAGCTCAGGAAAGCAGCATGATAAATTAACATTTTAGTGAAACAGAGATGCTCCTACAGAAGCTATGGATTTAAGGTAACTAAAATGATCAAGGAGGGGCAAAGAGGCAGCAAGCAGCCAGGCCAAAGGGAAAGGAAAGTAAGATGCACATGAGGTCATCTCATGGCAAGAAAAGAAACCTATTTGTGAGATTCTGCAACCTGAGGGTAGTCCACATCAGTGCTTAATTAAGCAAATACTTCCATAAATGTCTTTCAGAGTGAGCTATGCTTTTTTTGCCTCAACTCTGTTCTAAGCATTAATGTGGGGTTGTGTTTTGTTTCTTCACTGTTATAACCACTTTTCAAAAAGCTTGGAAAAAAGATTGCACAGACAACCACAGCATAGCTGTTCACTCATGTCATGCTTTTAGTGCATGGATTTGTGAACAGGTGGATTTTTCTTTCTTCTTCACTTTACATATAAACTCAGACAATCAGGGTGACTGTCAAAGGTAAAAATGTATTCACAACTAACAAGACATGTTAAAAGTCAGTTGTTTGGGTTATCTAGAGGAGACTCAACTTAAGGTGTACCCTTAATATTCTAATAAAAACAAATCTAGAGCTTGTAAAATAAACATACCTCAAAATTCACAGGCAAGTTCCTTTTAAGTGCAATCTCAAAAACTTGGCTTATTTCAGATTTATTGAGATTTTCATCATCTGGTTCTTTTCCGTTAACCTAAAAGAAGCATACTCTATTTAAAATAAAGATCCTATTAAATTGAATTTTATCCATCCAACCAGTTTACTGAACTCTCAAAATTTTAAGTAGTCTAACCTTTACTGCCACTTTATGTGAATGTGTAGAAATGCAGCACACATACTACAAAACTGAAACTTAAGCAGCTCATTTAAAGTGTATGTGTAAAAACTAGCAAACCTTCATATTTTCATGTGCTTGTTACAGGAAAGAACAAATGAAATTAGGGCCAATAGGTCTGAAAATCTATTTATAGAAAACCAAACTGAAGTGTTAAATGGAAGTACCTTTATGAAATACAATTTTCATATACTGATTGGACATTTGTACCAAAAGCACTAAGACAGTATCAGATAAGAGAAAGGGCAGGAAAAATAAAGATTCTGAGAATGGGACCAATGTGAATAAAGAATGGCTAATTAGACCCTGGCATAATCCTGTCTTTTAACATGCTCCCTTGTAAGTGCTTTATCTACAGGTATTGGTTTTCCTCATCTGAAGAACATACTATCAGGAACTTGCCTTAAATCAAATGGTGCACATCTCTGAGAACTTACACCTGCTAAGAGGACAGCAGTGCCAGGTGAAGCTTACCTACAGGCACTTCTACGTATCTCCAGGTAAAATTTTGATCGAGATTCCAAAAATGTCTTCACTGATGTTGGGATCAACATGAACTAAGAGGCATGGTAACAGCAACAGAGAAATTTTAAGACTAAGTGTCCAGCAGCGATATTGGAAAGATTATGATAAAGATGAACAGCAACAATTTCACCAATTATATCATGCCACAATACTAGTTATGCAATCAGGTAACAAAAATGATTTAAATATTTTATTGGAGCAGCAGAAATAGGCTAGAGCGCTCTTATTGATTAAAACTAGTTTTGATGGTAGCAAGATCCCCAAAGTTAGATTAAAACATGAAGGAAATTTTTTTCCACCATTTAAAGTAGCATCTTCCTATCTCAGAAGTAAAAACGCAAAACCTAGTAACATTAATCTGTGGTTTTCACTCCTCCCACAGCCCCATCAGATTTCACACTGATCTTTGTGGTTGACCTTGTATTTCAGGTTCGAGTTGCAAACATTTCAGAAGAGCACATAAAGCCCAAGAGTCTTTTACAATGATAACATCTGATACTTCTGATCCCATCCAGCCTCCAGCCTCTGCAGGGAGGTGTACATAGTCTTCAGGTCTGCAAAAACCAGGACCACAGGATGGCACCACTCCCCCAGGAGAGAGGTAGATGCACCGTGCATTAGACTGCATGAGAAACCTGGAGGCCACACCCAGGCTAGAGGAACCATTACTATACCTCAGCAGAAGGCACAATGCTGGTAAAAATTGGCAAAACCAGGATTGAATACAGGAGTCAAAAAGTCTTGATCATCATATTCTAAAAGCTATTTCAAATGCAATTTCTAAATTCAAAAGGAATAGCATCATATACCCAGAAAAATATTTGAACTGCTAAGGTCTTATTACGGTTTAGGTGTTACATCAAATTCACTACCAGCCTCTCTATGAATGATCCATCACTACCCTTACTGTCAAAACATTGGCAGAATCACTTTAATTACAAATATTTGTCCCCTTCTTGTAACTTCAGATACATCCTACTTTTTCAAATTCAGACATTTTTCCTTCTAAAGGTGACCAGGACATCTCTTTTTTTGCATTAGATATTTTCCATTTAATATCCTTTTCAAGAGAATACAAATAAATACTATGGGATTATTTGCTGTATCTTGGTATATATTATTCACATAGTCTATTCTTACAGTGTAAAACAGTTACTTTTCTTCAATACCTTTATCTAAAAAGATTGAATTAATAGCAAAATAACAATTAACAGGCTATACCCATTTTACCTATTATTTTGCCTCTACTTGAATGTTGGATCAGTTTATTTTACAAATCAGAAAGTCACACACATGCTCTTCCCCTTTCTCTGCACACCTCCAGGCAGAAGATCTATAAAGGCTGCTTCTGAAGTAGTTTGCTTATGTGCACAGATAAAAACTTTCCATGGAATCTGCACCTCTAAATCAGAATGAGACCATTAATAAAAGCATTTACCACTCTTAGTTCTCATCAAATTGTTCAAATTCAGCTCTAACAACCAAAAAAAAGAAGTCAAAAAAGGAAACAAAAGGGATAGATTATAAACTCCTAAACAAATTGCAAAAGGAGCATACTCCTTTAAGAGGGATTCACCCTGTTCTAGGAACTCTTTCAACATGTACTTTGTCAAAGGCTGCTTATAACCAAATTATGAAAACCTCTGGAGATGCTGATAAGAACTACATAGATTTCAACACAGCTGCAAGTCTGACTGTTTTCTTCCATGTTAAGAGTATAAAGAGCAGCTGATATTTACCAAGTAAGTTGGCAAAAAACATAGAAGCAAAACTTTCTACTAAAGTATTTACAAGCAAAAGTCAGAATTTCTGTTTGAGACCTGTGCTAGAAAGCACAGCTTTCTGTGTTTTCTAGGCTTTAAATTGATGCTTTATCATCTTTCTTTGAATATGCAAAGTAACCCTGTACTACAGCTTTGTCAGTCTGTTGTCACTCCAATCAGCCTAATTTAAGTTGGAAGGGTCCTTTGGAGGTCTCCTACTGCAGCCTCCCAACTCAAAGCAGAGCATACTTTAAAATTAAATTGAATTGTTCAGGCAGGGCTTTGTCCAGTTGAAAGCTAATATTAAATTATTTTCCTGCCACTTGCTTCCAGACTTGCTGTCTGAGAAGGTGTGGGAAGTGGTCTTACCTAATCATTTTATTAATTGATTTCTTGTTAAGCACTGCATATTTAATTTGAAAATACAAGAATAAAACCATGTAAATACACAAATATGAAAAAAAATATTACCAAATCACATCCCACTTCCCCCCCCAAAATAAAAGCGTACAAGGATAAGCATGTGCTGTTTACAAACACGGATGGGATACACAAAAATAACTAAATTTAAAAGGAAAAGAGCTAGCAACATCAAATGACAGGTAGGAAGTATCAGGAAGTATGTCTGCTTGTGAAATCCTATTTTGCCTTCATTGTACACATGCATTATAGCAGCAGCTCTTACGGCCTGATGCTACCATGGCCTTCAAGGACCTTGCCTCACTGAATGCAAGAATGAACAGTGCTCACTTGGCAGCAAAACCTTCCTTACTTTATCTTCAGCTTGTCTAGTATAAAACACTGTTTCAAAAGCAGCAGTCCTCTCAGATATGCCTAAGACTACAATATTTGAAAGCCACAGATACTAATGAATTTAGCATTTAAGTACCAAACTTTAAATTAGGATCCGATTTATCCAAGTGATTATAGAACAGTAGTCTGTTCCAAGGATTGCTGTCCTTAAGCATTGCTGCATTTCTTACTGTTCATTTGGTAGAGAACTCAAACAGAAAAATAAAATGACAAATGTGTGTTTCTCACGAAAGTTTAAGTGGCTTGCCCAGTTTATGTACAGCAGGGTCAAGATAGCATTTTAGCTCCCAGCAACTGTTGTATTCATAAAACAATTCTCTCTTCTTGCAATCTCTTATATGAGTCTCAATAGTCTTTCTCTGATGTCTTTAAAAAAACTGAAAAAAGGAGAGACTCCATAGGTTTACTTCCTTTACCTCTTGATCTACACCCCTTATACTAAGACATCCTCTAGAAAAGGGTATGTGGTCATGTCAAGACACCTGCAGTGTTTGTTCTGAAGACCTCACATTACTCAACTTTAAACACAACTCTACAAATATTCAGAAAGTCATTTGTACAGAAGCATTTATAAAGAAGTGAACAGAAAGGAATTCAGTTACATGTGATCCTATTATTTTCTGCAGAGTTGGACCAGAGTTGGGTCCAGCACAAAACTTTGCTACCTGAGGTGGAAAATGCTGATGACAGTAGGTTATCTTTTCCAAGGCTGAGTTCAAAAAGAGGATGTTATGCATCACTGACACAGAACAACAATGCTCAGGAATTTGGAAAATTTCAGGAATTCCATGCACTGAAGGGGAACAACCCCCTCAGGCCTGACCCCTCCTGTATGAAGACCTCCAGCCTATCCCTGACCACACTCTGCCTACCACCAGTTCTAGATTTCAGTGCAGAACTCATCTCCACTCTTTTCCATTCTCAGCATCACTCTCCTCTCCCCAATAGCATCTGTAATCCCTTGACTTAGTAGCCTCCATCATTCAATAATACACATTTCTTCAGGAGAGCTTTCTGTTACCTGAACTACTACCATCAGCACCTCCAAGGCCTCTTCCCTGAACCATCAGATCCACTGTTCTTGCCCAGTTATCTGGGCAGTGCTCTCTCCCACAAACACACTCAGAAGTTTTAATTCAATGTCCCTCAGCTTCGCACCACACTTCCTCAGGCCTCTTGCTCTGCCATTTCTGGTAGTTCCCAGCTTTTTTATTTTCCCCCCAGTCTGAAACCATTTATTACTTTCTTGGCCTTTTCTTCATTTTCCTTTTTTCTCAGTACAGCCAGACTCTGAACCCAGCAAGTTCTCATGCTCCCCAGACTGTAAATTATCAGTCTAACCTCCTCATTCTGTTCCTCACCTCTCTGGCTAGGCCCTTCCAGGTTTGCATTGCACAGCTACCTCCTCAACATGATCAAGATGCCAGTGTGGAGGACATCAACAGATCTCTTGCTCTTAGTTCTAACATCAAGCCCTCATAACTCAGACAGGCACAAAGAGCCCCTAAAGCAAAGATTAAATACACCCTTTGCAGTTGTATTTGGCCAAAGCAGTCAGCCACAGAGGGTGCATGCAGTCAGCCAGCCCCAGGAGCTATGAGTAACTCATGTGCACACAATGAGAGCTACTGCCTAAAGCAACTTAACAAAAGAGCATGAAAAAACCTATTAACAGGGTCTTGGAGTGGAAAGTGCTGGGCAGCCATAATATATGGAGGGATAAAAATGTGCTTCTTATATTCATATCAAAATGTGTGTATGTGTATGAGTGTACTACTTCCATGAACTTCTTGCTTTTCTAGAACTTCCACGGTTCTTTTCAAAATAATGTAGGATTTTTGCCCAGGAAGCAAATCCATGTCTCATTTCTACATTGCCCATACTAGAATGCAATCACCCCAGTTACGCACTTCTTCAGAAGTTTGTATATGATCTGTACCTGATAAGATATTAGTTCCTATCTATGCTTCCAGTGCTCATATCTGACAGAGGTCTATAGCATTGCTGTGGAAAAATATGACAGCAAAAGAATTAATATAACTTCATTTGGAAAACTTTAGTTCCATAGAAATTTATGGTTTTAAATCAAAGTATTTCTATTGACACAAGTAGGTCAGCACTACCACACAGAATTAAATTTCACAACTGTCATCATCCTCTCAATTAGGAAAAAAAATCTACAATAGCTCAGTTGATCTTAGCAATTTAGCTTAGAACACTAAGATTAAATCCCACCTCTGGTTTCTCAGGCAAGGGCTCATTCTGCAGAACTTTCAGTGCTTTAGCAGCAGCATCATGCTTAGCAGCTTGTCTTGTTCTTCCTTTCCCATGAAACTGCTGCCCTCCAATAGAAAGCTCAACTTGATACAGTAAGGGCCCAACAGGAAATGGGTAAAAGTACCTGCACAGACAGAGATTTAAATAAGCAAATAGTTTGGCCTACAGAGCAAATAGAAACATAAGTTAAATGTAGATGAATCTCTTGGACATCAGTAACCACAACTCAGCACTGAAGCACTAATATTAAAAAGCCAACTTTTTATTTAAAATCAAAGTTTTTAGAGAGAGACCTTTGAAACAGTATCAACAGTTCTTGTTTTACAGTAGGAACACGTCTGTAACCAACCAGAGCAGAGAAAGGCAATATAACTATGGTTTAGAGTCAGCAGTCCAGTAAGTTTGGAATTCCCAATTCACAGACTCACAGAATGTTAGGGGTTAGAAAAGGACCTCTGCAGATCATCAAGTCCAGCCCCCCTGCCTGAGCAGGACGACCACAAAATCTAGGGCAAGTCACTCCTATGCCCATGTAAAATTTTTTATGCTGAAGTTATAATTTAAATAGTTTTAGAAAAAGCATCAAACTGTTTTCTTCACTTCTGCTTTTACACAGAAAGAAAATGCAAGAAATATCTAGCTATTCACTTCATGAAGCTGGCTACATCTGAGTCCTCAAACACACTTCAGCATTTGGTTCAGTTCCCTTTTTCCTCCCTTTCCCTTCTCCTCTCAAGTAAAAACAAACCCAGCCCTTAAATAAGACAAATGACAGATACTGATGGGGTGGACTTATCAAAACCTTCTGCCTCATAAGCTGGCCATGTTTCAAGCTGGATATCCCTTTAAGTGATGCTGTATTTTTAGCTGTTTTCCCAAGACAGCATCAAAGCACTGGGTCAAAGACAGCAGAAGTTCAAAGATACGAGACTGCAAACCCAAGAAATTAAACAATACATACCGTGGAGGATAAGTGCCACCTCTCATTGTATAGTTGTAAGTGGATCTCATCCCTGTATAAGGATCAATAGGTTTGTACATAGGTTTCTTTCCCAGCTTCATGCAAAGTGCATTTAACTCCACTGTGGGGGTTACACTGTCTAAATAAAAAGGAATATAGAGAGAGTTGTCCAACTGCCACCAGGGACCAAACCAACCTAAACTCTCATGCTGTCCCAAACAGGGAAAAATGAGTTAAAGTTTTGCCCTATGCAGTACCCTAAATGAATGAATTCCAAACAGAAATGCTAATGAACACAAAGAAAATAAGTCTTATGTGGTGCATATTAAATTAGCAGCCTAGCAGAGTTGTGACAAATCCTGTTACAAAAAAAGTGAACTTGCTAGGGGCTTTTAATTTAATTTTCCTTTAAATCTGTGAAGCTACCAACTGATTTATTTTTACAGCTTAGCTAGCAATGTGGTCAGGAGAACACAAATTTCTCTTCCACAAAAAAACACTTTTATATTAAATTAACAGACATGCTATGTATCTTCCATTTCTGTTGTTTACTGAAAATGATCAAGAGTTTCTCTTTGTACTTGTGACCTAAGAAGGGTTTTTATGACTCTCCAATTGCAAGTGGCCTTTTCAAAAGGAAGGTATATTGCTGCTGAGGGCTACAAACATTTCTCTAAGTGGAGACACTGGGGATGAAGTATTGACTCCCTGACTGCTCTTGTTTAAGAAAGAACAGCCAAGTAAACGGTCATTTTTTTCCAGTCACGGGTCTCACTGTTTAAAAAATCAGCATGTACTCCAATGTTTTGTTATACGGCAATTGTCAAAAGCAAATGGAATTACAGAGAAGATTCACAGAAAAATAAGTCATAGCTGGCTTCAGTGTTTACTGTGTGAAGTGTTTCTAAAGAAGGAATTTAGGTGATATCAGAATACAAATGGCACAAAAGACAAGTTTAAGCCTTTGCTGAACATACTATCCCAGTAGCTTTGCATTCAAGTGGCTGAGAGTAATGCAAACCAATCATATTTTAAATGTAACTTAAAAGCAATCTTAGTAAATAAGAAGTTGCCTAAACATAGCTAACTACACCTTACATGCTTTTATGCAAATAAACATCTGCTTCCCTTTAAAGAAATACAAGTGACACAAATCCCAAAGCCCTGATACAATCCATCAACACAAATTTAATAGCTTTGGGTTTTTTGGTGTGTTTTTTTTTTAACTTACATTTTAAAAAAATCTTTATTGTCAAGCTTTTGAATTAGTCTGTCAGAATTACCAAACACATTCATCTGCCCACGCAAAAGATTATTCTCTGCTGTGACTGAATTCCTAATGGTTTGGTTGGGTTTTGTTTATTTTTTTAATGATTATTTTTATTTTATTTTTTTTTAAGAGTAGGATAAACATCTTTTCCAGAATTCCACCAAGTGTTACAACAAAAAAAACAGTTAAGTGGTGGGTTCTTCAGCCCTCAATGGCTGGGTGGAAAAAACTTTAACTTTTTAATACAATGAGTTATTTTCCTTTTAATGTCACCATGAAAGATAAATAAGATGAGATTCTCCCAAAACCTAACATGATATTCTCTGAAAACCTAACAACTGACTTTGTTAAATATGCAGAATCACTGATTTTATTCACCATTATGCAACTTCCAAATACATACCAAACCCGGAAAGGTGTATTTTATGATTATTCTTTAAAACTCAGTTTGTTGTAGCATATACCTGGATTCTTGCCTTCACTACGAGATGGACGAGCCGTAGGCTTCGGGAATTTTGTCCCTTCCAAAGCTTTGGCAGCTGCCGCATGTTGCGCTTTTTTAATACTAGTTCCTTCAGCTTCCCAGTGCTGGTCCCCAAGAGTGAGTTGCACTGTAAACACCTCAAAAATTAAAAAAAATAAATATTAATTGTACTACCAGCTGCTTCTGAATTCACATAATTACACAAAACAACGAGTCTTTTGAGAGATGCAAAAGCTGAGAATACAGTCATCAAAGCTTTCCTCAACTACCTTGTCAGCTACATCCTGGAAACACTTTGGACACCGACAGGATTTCCCTGGTTACTGCACTGAGAATTGAATTGGTTACTGCACTGAAGCCAACAACTGCATGACTGCATGAGATCACACACAAAAAAAAAAAACCCAACAGACACATTGTGTAGAGGTGACACGGACACCTGCTGGGCCAACATCACTCTGAACAGCAACATTGAAATTCAGACTTTTTTGTTCCACATAACTAAATTTTTGCATTAATACTGGGGGGGAGTTATATTTTTCAGTGGTTTGTATAAAGATAAGTTTATATTGCAACATAAAAGCTTCTACATGCCCACAGCTGATCACAAGCCTATCTGATTACAGAGCAAAGCTCTGTGTCACTTTTAAGTATGTGGGATAAGGAAGGATCTATATTGCCCTAAATTTTCACAAATTAATCAGACAACAGCAAGCCAGGGTCTCCCTGGTAATTAAATGAAGTTTTAATTTCAATCATAATGAAAACGCAAGTGAACAGATGCTCTGAATATTATTCCAATACTTTTTGTAAATGCAAACCCTGCCTCCTTTGCACATTGAAGCTAACAATAGATTTTGGACAAGAGATTTTAGTTCTTAATATCATTCAATTCCAAGGCAATTCCTATAATATACAACTTATGAAAGTAAAAGAGCATATGTGAATATTTACCTTAGAATGAGCTGGACCTTGCTCACTCAAAAGCTTATACTCAGGCTGAATCTTGTTGAAACGGGCTAACTCATTCACAAGACACATGGGGGTTTTCTCTTTGGGGTTTGCCATGTTGGAAGGAGCTGAATGATCACACAAAATCAGACACATGGTCAGGTAGTGATGAATTCTACTACCAATTTTAATTTAAAAAATAATAAATCTCATTTTCTTAGCATTTATTTGTCTGCAATACACCTCAGAAAATATCTGCTGGAATAGACAGCTCTGCTCATTAGCCAAACTGGCAACAATCTACTGAACTTTGGCATTTCCAAGCAATGTGCATGCCTAAAAGACAGCAGCATTAAATGTACTGCTTTAATGCAAGCCAGTGGTATGAAGTTAGCAGACTCCTGCATTTAGCTTGCATCTCAAGGAGCAAATCTTCTGAGTAATCATCATGCTTTGAATAATTTCAAAAAGTCAGCAAATTTGGTTTTCCTTCTATTTTTCTCTATTTTTTATTTAATACCTTCTATTCACTCTAATATATTGTATTAGCACAATACATTTAGCATTAAACTAGTCCTAAAACAACTGAAGATAACAGAACTAAACAAACTATTTCAAATAACACATTATTTATATTAAAACAAGCTACTAGTAGAAAAGATGGATAGCAATGTTTTAAAAATTCAATATTATAAAATTTTAAATATTTTTTACTACTACAAGCATTTCCATTAATTATTAGAACTTCACAGAAAATTATGCTTCTGTCTCCAACAGATTTCACTAAATAGGGAGAAAGCATTACAGGCTACAGTAGTTGGATAAATGTTCAAGTATTTGTAGGTGCAAGACATCAGGAATATCTCATGCCAAACTACGAAGATTAAGAATATATACACTTATTAATAGACACCCTTACCTGCAGCTGCATTGGTGGATGTAACTGATGCAGAGGGTAAAGCAGAATTTTGGATAGGTCTACCTGCATTTTCAGAGGGCAAAGAACTAGTAGTAGAAGGAATACTCAAAGGCTGTGAAAGAGATGGGTTTTTATTCAATATTTGGCTCCCTGCAATGGCAGCAGGATTCTGAATTTGAACTTGAGACATGTTCACTTCCAACCAGAGCAAATTACTGTAGGTAAACAGCTTTAAATGCAGGCAGACTCAGTGTGATGAAGCCAAATTGCTGACCTAAAATGTAAAGACAAAGAAAATATGAACAACCTATTGAAATTATTAGCAAAAGTCCATTAGCAAAGACGGCAAAAGGGGAAAAAAGCATTCAGTCAAACATCCATTGTTTCGATTTTGTATGCAATAGGTCACTTAGACACCCAGTTTAACAGCTCATTTCAATCTCTGTGCCCTATCAGTCAAGTTCCACATTTCTTTCATTTATAAAAGGAAGTAGCACAGAAGCTTTATTTATGCTTGCTCGTTTCAGATCAACTACCCATCTGTTTTCTCCATCATTGAATCCACTTACAAAGCAAATCCAGTTACTTAAACTGATAGCCACTGCTTATATTCTAAACAAAGAGCAACTCCCATGAACAGATTACATTTTGTGCATTCTACCACTTGCAGCTCAAGTTTTTAACTTGTAAGGGCAAGTACCAAATGTAGTCTTCACAAAACAGCTATTAGAGCATGCACCCCTTCTTATAATCCCCCCAAGAAGGATGCCTAGCCATTTACAACTGGTATCCAGCAGAAAATGGCAAGGAGCTACAGCTGGGAAAAGGGAAAGTATCAGAGTTCATAAACTTTATAAGCTCCATGTGTTTTGAAGGTTCCTTCTACCGAAGGCAGAACATGCCTCAGTCACAGCTCAAGAATCAATTTAAGAGTTAATTGGCCTTGCAACACTGTAAGCAAGTACTGAAGGTGCTCATGGGCACCTACGTTCATGTCAGGATAAAACACTTCAAGCGATGAACCTGCACCAGTCAATGTGAAGTTCTGGGACAGGTCTTTTCCTCCACCAGCAAATTAATATTAGATTGCTCTTACACATGGATGCAACAGTATCTTCATGCTCAGACAGTTAAACCTAAATATACACTAACAGGTTGCCAGTTTGAAGGCTATCGTTGCTGCCAGAGCTCAGCTGCCCATATCCTCTTACGAACCCCGTATCAATGCATTTATTAAAAATAAATTTCACAGCCAAGTTAATACATTTTACACACAGAGGCATGCACACAGACACTGGTCACCTACAGATTTTATTAGGGCAGCACAAGGTTTATTCTTTAATAATTAATAGACTAAGAGAAATGACTGTTCCAGATACCACCAGGGAGCTATTAGTGGCAACACAACTCCACCAGTGCTCTCCAAGCTTCAAATGCTGAACCTGTGAATGGACTTCACAGTGTAAGAGGAGCAGCAATGAGTCAGAGCGAAGTTTTTAGCCACTTACTGATAAAACAAACCTAGGAGGAGGAACTTAGGTTAAGACATTTATGGATCCAAAGATTTCTTTTTTTATTTAGTAAATAAGAGGGAAGAAGCTACCGGGAAACAACAGACACACCAACTAATCAATCATCTGGTGTATTTTTACTTTGAAAAAACATCATAAACATGTCAGGCTGATCATACTGCTGGCTGGACAACTATTTTTTACTAGAGAGCAAGATCAGTTTGGAAGACTTTTTATGTAAGACTATACTCAAAACATACATATTTGACTACTACATTTGCAGTATTAGGGCATTTACCTAAAGGAGTTTCAAGAAATTGTAAGGCAAAAATGAAAAGTATGTAGAATAAGACTGCAGGGTAATAACTTTATAATAACTAAGTTTCATTCCCAGGAGCATCACTAGAAACACTGAAAATTTTCAAACATAATAAAACAATAATAAATGCCTGGAAAAGACTATAAATTCTTGCAGTGCAATAAAGCAGCTAATTCTCCTGCTGA